TGCACGCTCCTGGATGCCCACTCCACCGCCCATGCACGCTCCTGGATCTCCCACTCCACCGCCCATGCACACTCCTGGGTGCCCACTCCACAGGCTGTCCATCACTCCTCACAGCATCCCAGGCTAAGAGGACAACTTACCCTTGTAGAGCTAAGGCCCAAGAGGAGCCAGCAGAGTGGTAAATGGAAAAGCCTGGATTCCAGGTCAAGGAAGTCAGGTGACAGGGAGGTCACTGAGAAGTCACCTGGCAGGCAGTGCCCAGCTCCCCTGGTGGGAGGTGATTACTGGAGGGATACCTTAGGGGCATCTAGCATAATTCCCCTCACTCCAAAGATAGGTATATTGAGACTCAGGGAAGGGAGACTTCCTGCTCACTATAGCACAGCTCATCTGCGGGATTGACAGGGCCAGAAGTTGGGTTTCTTGTCTCCAGGTTCCAGGACCTATCAGTGCACCCAGTGTACTGAAAAGGAAGCTCCTTGGGAGAGACACCTTACAGGAGGGATCTATTGAGAGAATGAGCCCACGAGCCCACAAGCCAAAGACTCCAAAGTGATGAAGCCAGACCCCGATCCCTGATGATTCCCTCCAAAGAGTGACAGGCACAATGTCTCACCTGCAGGGTGAGGGCCACAGTGAGGATCCCAAAGAAGAGGGCCATCAACCCAAAGCCGCCAATGAGGAGAGGTCTCCGTCCTAGGCGCTCGATGACCAGGCCCTGGTGTGTGAGAGAGAAAGAAGTAGGGGACACAGTTATTTCATGTTGAGCCCAATAACAAGGGACCACGGTGGTGGAAGGCCATGGAAGGTTGAGGAAGGCTATGGAAGGCTATGGAAGGCTGTGGAAAACCATGAAAGGCCTTGAAAGGCCTTGAAAGACCTTTAAAGGCTGGTTTCACACAGAGGGTGTGATCCAGGAGGACCACCTTATACTGGTGCAGCTTTGGAAATGTCCTTGGCCTTCTCCCTCTGGCACTTCTGTCACCAAGGTGGGTAAAGACAATGACCCCATTATATAACGACCAGAGGCCACTGCCAGAGTCAGGCAGACTTGGACTGATATCCTGGCTCCATCACTTTGCAGCTATGTGGACTTGCGCTTGTGACTTCAGGTCCTAAAGTCTATGACAGGACCAGAAATACCATTACCTCACCCACCCCACTCCAAGGCATCTAAGAGGCTGAATGGGTTAAATAAGGTACTGCTTGCTGTTTACATTGGGTGACTTCTCTTCCCCACCCCCACTGTTTCATAAGGAAAGAACATCAAGGGTCAGAGAGATGAAATAACCTGGAAGAGGTCACACAGCAGGAAGTGAGAAGGTCGGGAACTGGACCCAAGTTGTTGTCAAGACTCACCACAGTTGAGCTAGTCACAGGCCAGCTCAGGCAAAGGCTTAAAGGTGGACAGATTCCAATTGAGGGCGTCACCTCCTCTCCCTCTCTCATGGTCTTTTTCTCTAGTATTCCCTGCTCCCTACCCCCGACACACACACACACACACACACACACACCACCACCACCACCACCACCACCACCACCATGTGAGAAAAGTCTGTAGTGTTTGTTTTCTGAATCTGGCTTATTTTGTTTGAAATACATATCTAAAGTTCCAACGACTTTCCTGCAAATGTCATGATTTCCATTTTCTTTATGTCTGAACAATACTCCATTGTGTACACGTACCACATTTTCTTTCTCCATTCATCGGTTAGAAATGTCCCATTTCCTGGCTACTGTGCGAGGAGCATGGGGTAAGCCGGTATCTATGGTAGACAAGCTTAGAGTCCTCGGAGAAAGGGGATTTTAAGTGGGCGTGAGAGAGAAAGGGGGTAGCAGAAGTACTCTGGCAAGGAAGCAAAAGGGGGTTCAGAGAGGGTGGGAATCAACAGGAACAAGTAACATGGAAAAAGTGCCACAATAAAAACCAATCAATCAATCAATCAATCAAAACTATCTGCTTTGGTGAGCGAAGTGGTGACAATGTGGGGGATCATGAAGACAGAGCATGTGGCCTCCTGCCTGGCAGCTTCAGGTGATAAGAAGAGAGACAAGGCCCAGAAACCTTGGGATCTTTGCCGTGGAGTTTCGCAGCAGGGAGTCTGTGTCCTGATTCCCAGGAATCAGGTGACTGGAAGCTGTCTGGGAGGTGGGCCTTCTCCCCAGATGAATAGGGGCTGTAGTCTAGGCATATCGCTTGGCCAAGTCACCCGTGCATGACATTGCCAGGACAGGAGAGGCCTTTAGCACACAGTCATGGACTGGAGGCCGGTGAGAACACCCTGACTGGTTGAAAGGGCTTTTTCCTGCAGACCCAGGCCTTCCACTCTTCACCTCCTGGGAACCTGACCCAAGAGAATAGGGCAACACAGCTGTCCAGAGGTGATGGGGCTTGAAGATGGGCTGACCTGGGCTCAAGTCTGCCTCTCAGCCTTCCTTGTATGAAAGACGGATGACTAAGTGACTGTATTTCTCTGAGGCTGAGTCTCCCCACCTGGGAAGTGTGGATGGTAGATCTCTGCAGGGTAGCTGTGAGGGGAGAGGAAAGGCATGCTGGAGCAGCAGGGCCTGCCCAACACAGCGGAAACTGCAGCATGATTGTTGCTCTGAGAAAGGCCTGGGTGGCTGCTCTCACTCCTGCCTCTAAGTGGCCCTGTGGCCTTGAACATGGAGCCCTTTCGGGACTTCCTTTTGTGCAGCCATGAAATTAGTCTAGGAGATCTCATTTCTGAGATCCCCGTTCTAGGCACTTCACTGAGCACATTTCAAGTACTAATCATTTAACCCCCACAAATACTCCCATGAAATGGGCCTTGTTTGTCTCCTTACACAGGTGATAAAACAAACAAACAAACAAAAAAAAAAAATGAGTCACGAGACTTTGGGACTTGTCCAAGGCACACGGCTGATAAGGGCTGAAGCAAGGATGCCTGCAGAATCTTTTCTAGTTCTGAAAGTATTAAGTTTCCCAAAGTTGAAACAGGCAGAGCCCCCAGTTTGCCATAATGCACTGCCCCATCTTCATGTCTGATCACTGAACACACAGAGCACTGTCCTCCTTCCTCCTGGCCCTCCCCAGAAACCCTCACATCACTCCGTTTCTCCAGAATCCAGAAGCACCCCTGGCTGCCGTGGGGCCCTTTCTGCTGATGGAGTGAGCAAGGTACACATACAGTGTGCTTGGGAGGGCAGTGAAGATGGAGAGGAGAGGGGAGGTGAACTCACTCTGTGGGAGATGTGGAGGGGTGTGTAGGTCAGGGACGGTCATGGAAGAAGAAAGAGCAGAACTTTGTGGGGAAAGAGGGTGGAGAGAAGCCATAAGGAGAGGGAATGAATGAATGAATAAATAAATAAATAAATACATATATACATACATAAATACATAAATAAGGAGAGGGAAAGGCAGAGGGAGGGAGACAGACGGAGTCGGGAGGAAGGGGAAAGAGAGAGTTCCAAGGCCTTCAAAAGCTGAACCCCCATCAAAGAGGAGGCATTAATAGGGTCACGGTCCTGAGCATCAGGAATAGGGAGCTGGGTCCCAGTGACAAGGGCAAGTCAGAGGCCCAGAACAGTCCCGATGCACCCCAGGCCATAGAGTGAGCTAGCAGAAAGGACACAGAAGTGGGTGCGTGCGCCTCCACTTCAGCTCGCTCCTGAAAACTTGTATGCTTCCTTCTCACCAGGACTTTGTCTGTAAGACCACCTATGGCCTAAGCTGTGGAGAAAATGCCAGAGCACCTGGGTAGTAAATATCTGGGAATAACATATTTTCCATTAGTTTTGGGTAGGTTTGAAAATCCTCAGCATATAATTTTCAATAAAATCAATAAAGATAAGACTAGAAAATAGAGTTACTTTATAAACAGCAATTCTGCCTGCTGAGCCCTAGGTCTGTGTGTGTGCACATGTGTGTGCGTGCGTGCGTGTGTGCGTGCGTGTGTGTGTGTGTGTGTATGTGTGCGTGTGTGTATGTGTGTGTGTGTGTGTGTGTGTGTGTGTGTGTGTGTGTGCAGGCTTGCCTTTTGAGGCCAGCAAACCACCCTGGGTCATTCCTTAGGTGTTGCCCACCTTTTTTTTGTGTATGTGTGAGACAGGCTCCCTGCTCTGCTGGGGGCTCACTGGTTATTTTAGGCTGGCTACCCATGAATCCCCAGAGATCTATGCCCTGGCCTCCCAGCACTGAGATTCTAAGCTTGAACCTAGCTCCTTTTTGTCTGGGTTCTGAGGAATGAACTTGGGTCGGACCTGCACAGAAATCTCTTTACCAAGTGGTCTATTTCCTCGGCTCCCTGGCATTTCCTGTGTCCTATTGCGGGTCATTTCCAGCACCCAGCCTAGCAAAGTTCTATAACCATCTGAAATGTCGCTACATTCTAATGTACGGAAGCCACTCCTGTGACTAGTCCTGAGAGGTTCAAGGCTAATAAAAGCCCAGAGCTGGAGGAAAGGGGACTTTGTCTCCTCAGTATCTCAGAGGAGCTGAGCTAGAGTCCCTGGTGACACTGAAATCAGTAGAGGTTGCCAGGAACAAGCTTTGGAATCACATAGGGGACCAGGTCACAGTGAGATCTACATATTCCATTGCTATACTGATTCTGACAACTGTAACAGCTGTGCTGAGGTCAGCGTGTCACAGACACCAGCGTGTCACACTGAGTCTCAGTGGGCTGGACCTCCTTAGGCTGTGAACCCAGGATTAAGATGTGTTGCACTCAGATGTGACAATAGGTTACAATGCACGCAGATGGACATGTGCTGTTTATTGCTATTCATGTTTTCCAACATCACGAAGTGCAGGGCCCTGGGCTAGAGCGTGAGGGAAGCTTCCTCAAGTGAGCCAACCACAGTGTCAACATTTGAAAGTGTGCCCTCAAATGCAAGCTAGCTGAGGAGTGATATATCACCCTATGACATCAATGCTCAGGGCCTTCTTTGGGGAGGAGACATGCTTTTCCCCAGTTCATAGCAGAAGCAGGAAGTCGGGCCAGCCTGAAGCTGGGACACGCTCCTTGCATGGGAAGGTGTAGGAAGGCCCTGAGGAGCTTTCAGAGAGACTGGAGAGAGGGAACAGACCTCCCACCACCAGTCCTGTCAAGCCAGGTCACCAGGGTGATCCCCCCTCCAAGCCCGACAGAAGCTCAGCCTGTCTGAGGGAATTGGAGTGGCTGGAGGTTCCTACTCCAGACTAAAGCTGCCAGGGAAGACACTAACTCAAGATGAACAGCTGCTCTCCAAGGTTACTGATGTCAGCTAGGAACCAACTACCAGGCTTCTGGCGCTCTGAGAAGACCCTCTGGGGACCCTGAGCTGTAAGGTCCCCTCTGCTGTCACTGTCTCTCCCACAGTGTGCTGGGACTTCTGAGCAGACAGCAGGGGCAACATGTTTCTGCCTAGGATTTTAAAAATCAACTCTGTTGAGTTACAGTTTTGTTCAATGACATGTCCTCATTTAATTCTGCAGCCTAATAGAATCTCGACAAATTTACATTACCTATTGCCTATTACCATACCTGCAATATAGAAAATGCCCACTGCCACCAAAGGTCTCCCTGTGTCCCTTCTCTCAGCCCCAGGCAGCCCCTGATCCACTTTCTAGCACCGGGTTTAGAGTCACCAGTTTTAGAATTTCACACAGATCTTTGTAAATTTTTTGAGACCTGTCCTGTTTGTGATACGCATGAATAGTTCTTTTTCACGGTTGAACAACAGCCCACTGGG